TATCGCTTTATTTTTGTTTTACTTTTCATACTTTAAATATTCTAGCACTAGTAGTATTAGTACTTATATTATATATTTTTTGTACCTTTAAGCAGTATTAGTACTTATATTATAGTATAAGTACTTATATTATATATTCTAGCACTACCACCTCTCTTATTCGCTTTATCGTTGTGAAAACCGCCAGAAAGACAAAGACCTACACTTACCTCCACCAACCCACAACCAATCATATGGTAACTTTCACGATCTTCTCTTATAAAACTCGCACATTGAGGACAATGTGTTTCTCAAGTGTGGGGGAATGTGTATAAATGTGTGAATGAATATTATGATTGGTTGAACCATAAATTGCTAGAATCCTCCCTCATTTATGAATGTAAGGCGTTGATGAATACTTATGCGAGTGTGTCCTAGCAATTGTGTTTGCGTTTGTGGTGATTAATGGTTAAATGTGGAACCTTGAATGATATACCCAAAAAATTTCAAATTTGAGGGTTCCAAATCCCGTGTCCCATGCCAAATCCTACTCAATATGATTTGATTTGTTAGATGATTGATATGTTGTGCTCACCAGGTGATAGTTGCATGATTAGAGTATCCGTGTGTGGGTAATTTTACTATCTTCTTCCTATTTTGTGAGTCGATAATATATGCTATTATAGGATGAACATGTGTGCGGGATTCTCTTGTTTGATTTTTGAACTTGAAGCTTTTAAAGATTCGTATTAGAGAAGAAAGACGAGAGAAAAATCTTTTGAAAATGAGGCTCACGTGAGAGGCAACCAATCCTCATGGATTCAGACTGCACTTTGAGGATATGCTTGGGGATCGGATAGCTTTACCGCGTCCCGGCCATCTTTTACTACTTACCATCCCCCAAGCATCTTTCCTCCTCACGGAATGGTATATGCCAAAGTACAAAGTACTTTTTAGCGATTAATGAGACCTCAACTCTCATTTGTACCCAACATGTGTGGTAACCCAATGTGGAGTGCAGGCTGGAAACTGGTGCTCGGTGTAATTCGGATCCGCCTATCAACTTCCCTACATGTGACCTTGAAAGGGAAGGCTATGATTCATTCGCTCGTGATCCTGAGGGAGAGATGCTTGTTTGCAAAAAAATTGTAAAAGCTTGGTGCAATGTGCGTCAACTTTGAAAAGGGATACCAATAAACGAAAACTCTTAACCGTAAGATAGAATAAAAAGCACCTTCGAGAGTTCTTGTACTTATTTCTGTTAGAGAATCCCTCGGAGTACACCTTGAATGTTCAGCCTAAGGTAGTATGTATGTTCCTCACCCGAGAGTGTGTTCTTGCACAGTAGGAAGATAGTAACCTGCATTCATCTCCACCTACTTTTCTTTATGCAATGAATAACTGGAGTGCATTCCCCATTGATTTGTCTATCATGTTGCATTAGGTTTGAGTAGGTTGCTTGGGGCAATCAAATGCCTAAGTGTGGGGGAGTTTGATAACACCTAAATTGGTGTTATTTACCCTTCATATTAAGGTTTGCTTCGTGTCAATTCATGTGTTTAAATGCTTAAACATCATCAATTGCATCCCTATTTCGTTCCCATTTGAATTTGATGTGATTTTCGGGTGTATTAGACGATATATGCGATTAGGTACAAAACAAGGTCACAAGTGTAGCAAGGGGGCAGGAGACTGTAGATGGCTTGGAAGCTGAAGATCACGGCTGGGAACATAGACCACGAACTCAAGCTGAAGATTGTGGCCGTGAATTGGAGGGCTTAGTGCGCAAACTTCAAGGGGTAAGGAGCCAAGGAGAAACAGAGAGTTTCCCCAGTCGAATCACGACCACATCAATTTCATACCGCGAGGAAGATAGCGGTCGCGGCTCGTGGATCGCGACCACGAAGTTAGCCCGCGATCTCCTCATTTCTGAAGGCCATGATGATAGTGTTTCAAGATCGCGGCTTCACTTCTAAAGATCACGACCGCGATCTCTGTGCTTCTAGCGGCGAACTTCTCCATCCCCAGATTGCCAATAAATAGAAGACCACTCTCTCCTTTTTACGAGAGCTGATTTTGAGAGAAATTTATGTTTTTAGGGAGAGAGAAGAGAGAGAATCTGAAGGAGGAGAAGGGAGGAGAAGAAGTAGAAGGAGCTAGAAGAGAGGGAGCATCTTCCTCAACTCAAGTCTTCTTCAATTTCTTCTATGTTTTTTCTTCCCTGTTTTATGGAGTAGTCATTTAAGGTACTAGCGGTTCTAAACCTCAAACCCTATTTTAGGGTTTATTATGTATGTATGTATGTATATTTTACGGTTTGAATGTATGAATGTGTTTATCTATTTGATTCTATTGCTATTATATCATTGATTGTGTTTGGGTAAGTCGCACTAATCTTCTCTATTAGGCTACTTTATGCTTCTACGCTGGGTATGGAATTCTAGGGTTAGACAGGTATGCTCCATCAAGCAAATCATGATAGATGTATGAATAGGGACCTATGGTGGTTGAGGCGAGTGAACCCCTATCGTAGGTTAGCCTTCCTGGATACAACCCGAGATAAAACCTCGGTGTGGACGGTGGATAGTGTCCAATGAAATGAGCAATGAGCTTAATGCCCCAGATACGATAGCCTAGATCGAGGTGACTATATATGGGTTTAGGGGAGGCGTGTGGATAACCACGAAAACCCATGGAAAAGAGCTCTCTCACCACATTCGATAACCATAAGTATCTATACATGCATAGTAACCATAAGCTAGGAGGAGGATTACTCCCTCAAAGTACCTGCTTTTAGCTTTGATCAATCTCTAGTTTAGTTATCTCCTCTAGTCCTCCACTCAAACCTCCAAACTGATTAACTAATTAGCAACAAGGTGGGAAGTAGGCTAGGGTACAAGGATCCGAGTAAAATACAAACTTGATTACCACTATACGACAATGCCATCATAGGTTAAACTTGGTTTAGGATGGGGTAGTTATTGACACGTGCTAACCATTAACAATAATCTGCAAACTGCACGGATCAAAGTGATCAACTCTTAACAACCCCTACGCCGACAATAATCAATTTGGGTCGCCTTAATTATTTAGGTCTTGGTCCTTAACCTAGTTTGATTTGATTTGGGTTTTCCGTACGTAATCATCAATCCAACCGTTCATTTATTAATGTCGAACCTGAACCCAACTATTTAGGTATTACAGTATTGTTGAAACGATTGTAGTGGATGTTCGTTTTTAATATTTCTAGTATTATTTCTTAGATGAAGAGTTCTCTTCTCTGCATCTCATTTCGTTTCAATGTCTTAATGAATTGAATTGAACTCGATATGTTCTATTATAAAGTAGGAATATAGCTTAACAATATGAAGAAGCAAATAACAAGAAATTAAGGAAAAATTATATGAAGACTACTTAGCGTACAGAATTAGAAAAGCAGCAGCTAACGTTGGTCTATAATGGTTTGTTTATCCTAACAATTAGTTTTTCTCACTCGAGCTTCTTTTCTTCTGAATTCTTCTGCCAGCTTGGGAAGCTCTTCGGCTGTTGTTTAGCATAGGTTTCTCTTAGGAAGCCCGGGTACTAGGAACACGACCGTGTTTCCCATGTCGAGCACATTTGGTAGAGAAGCGGGAAAACACGAGCAAAGTGGAAACAAGAAACACGGCCGTGTGTTCTGCTTGCTATGACCGTGTTTCTCCCCATCCGAGACTTGAGTGGAGCGGTTGACCTAGTCAAAGCATGGGCAACAGCAAAACACGAGCGTGTTCGCGTCCGTGTTTTGCCTATTTTCGAACTAAATTGGCATATTCGAGCCTTTTGGACGGGATCCGACTTTTGAGAGAAAAAGTGACGAAGAACAAGTCCTCTGAGCTATTTGAAGCTGAGATATCGCCATTGAAGCTCGGATTTCATCCTTTGAAGTGAAGATTGACATCTTAGAGCAAATTATACACATCATTATGAGTATGATCACTTTAATATTTGTTTTCCTCTCTCTCTCTCTCTGTCTCACTAGAGTAAACCCCCTTCCCACTTGAGTACGAAGAAACCTAGTTCTATTTGTTTGGAATCTTGGTTGTATGAACCTTTGGATTCTATATTGATTGGTTATAATCAATTGAGGCATGATTTATGCTTTGACCTAAGAGAGATAGAATCTAGTTAGGTTAAGAGAGTCACGTCAATTGATAGTAGGGGTTTAATTGTACGAGAGTCCGTCAATTCCCTACTTTGTACGAGAATTTATTCCATTAGTCGAGATGTTTGTGTATTGTCTTAGCAATTTACTCCAGTGGAGGTCAGTTGCCCACCTGTTACTTTGTCTAAGAAGGCTAGGTGAGTTTAAGAGATTCCAATCTAGTATCGGATCTTCCGTAGTATAATCACCATTTAAACGACTGAAGGGAATTACAACTTGGACCTCATTGAGGAGGTAAGGGGATACATACCTGAGTGATCTTTCTTGCATTTCAAAGCCGGAACAATTTACTTGCTTTCTTTTCTTTTGGCTTACAATCATTACGCTCAAAATCGTTCGCTAGTCAGACAATCTAAACCGAACCCACTTACTGCAGTCCCTTACAGTGGTTATAGTTGGTCACTGTAAGGATTGTTGTGTTTTAGTGAGTCACTTATCCATTAGAAGATTTCTGGGTCCGCAACAGACGACGATAGAGACCACAATGAAAAGATGCAGAAATCGCTTTCCTTGGTTTGAGTGAGTAGAGTTTTCCGATTGAAATTATTAAATTTTATTTTATTTTGTTAATTATGTTATTTTATTTTTTTATTCTTAATGAATCCTATTGTTACGGTAACAAGACCGAAGGTGTGTGAATTGTGATGCTTCAGAGACCAACATTTGGGATGTTTCTGGCCGCTAATCAAATCCATTACCATGCAAAAGATCTGAAGCCCAATGGGTCGCCGTAAGACCAATGTTTACGGGGGAAACCGCTGGAACCGCACATTCTTATTCGTAACACCATTCGAAATAACGAGTAATTACAGCTAGCCAGTTGCAAGCTTGTTGCTTAGCTTTCCCTAGTAACTTACCCACGCATTCGTCCCCACCGCTCAATATTACAAAAGCTCTCACCGTCTCCCATGAACAACAAAACAAAGTAGAGGATAAAATGTCCGCCGAATGAAAGGTTCAAAAGACACCAACTCTCCCTAGCAGCTACAACACCTCCAGCTGAAAAAGAACCGGCCGTCGCAACGGCAGCCTTGGCCTCTTTCCCTTCGCTGCCTCTCTACACCTCTCTCTCCACCAACATGATTGCTCTCAAAGGCATTGGAGCTGCTTCCTTCACTCCAACAAAGCAACCATTTCTCCGCACCAAAAGACTAGCAACTCCAAGGAGCTATTCGCTTCTCTGCCTCTCCAAGTCCGGCGACTCTGATACCGATTCCACTTCAGAATCTTCAGAAGGTGGTGGTGGTGGAGACACCCGCCGGCAAGAGTTACTCGCCAGAATAGCTATGCTCCAGACCGAGAAGGTCCGCCTCACAGATTACTTGGATGAGAGATCCGATTACCTCACTCAGTTCGCCGAAGAGGCCAACGCGGAGATCGACAAGATTGGAGAGGATGCCCTCACCCGCCTCGACGAAGCCAGTTCCAGGGTCTGTGAGAACAAGAAAGATTGGTCTTTCTAAAGTCCGATACTCAGTTTTTGCTGATCACCCACTTTCTTATTTTTCAGATAATGGAGAAAATAGAGAGCCGCATGCAAGCATTCGAGGAATCTGCAGAAATGGAAAAGGCAGAGATAGAAGACAAGGAAAGCAAATTGGCGGACTTCGAGGGACAGATGGATAAGGATCGTAATGAAGGGCTCTTCTTTGAGAACCTGGGGATGATGGGACAGAAAGCAGCGCCTGCCGTTGATAAAACAAAGGCACAAGAAGAAGTGCAGAAGATCAAAGATCTGGCCAAAGCAAAAGCTGAATCAGCGGCTAGAAAGAACATTTACCTTGCTCTAATTGCAATCCTGGTCTTTACCATCGCAGAATCTGTGATAACAACCCCTTCACCAGAATGGCGGAAAATTGCAGTTCTTGGAGCAATCTTAGTTGGGTTGATCACTCAGGTCACATACGAGCAGAGCTTGTCATCATCATCAGACGCACAAAACCTAGAACAGAAGGATAAGGCTGACAAAGAAGAGCAATGACTAATGGCTTCAGTGTGAATATAGCATGAGTTATTAGACCCAAGTGTGACACTTGCAACTTGAGCTTGATACGTCCAGCAAATTTCTGTAGCATCACATTTCTTGTATCTTGGTGAAATTACTCACAACACCAAGTACCATGTAACCGAAGTTACAATGCAGCAATGCATATTGTACAGGTTTTCATAGTTAGTAGGCATTAGAAAATGCATTACCAGCTTTCATAGTCGTTTTTTAATTCTGTATAAATTAATCATCATGGTTCGTTCATATACATGATGCTGCAGCCATGCAGTGAAGTTGCAGCGATGTTAAACCTGGAACGAAAAAAAGCTCACGGGTTGAAAGCTAATAGGTTTTTCAGAGTTAACGATTCAGAATTTATGGGCAAAAAACAACTATTATCCCACTCCACACAATAATAGAGATTAGAGGCTAGAAGTTTTTCCACTAGATACTCACCAAATTTCTTGAGGCCTCAGTGTATATCATCTGTATAATTGTCTGACCCCTGCAAACTGCATGATTAGATTAGAAACACTGTTAGAAACAAGATAAGACCTTTTGTAAAAGAATTTTTTGAATATGTTGAATCGATTGAAATTGAGGAGCAATCTTAGTCGAGCTGATCACTCGGTTCACCAACGAGCAGAGCTTGTCATCATCATCAGACATACAAAAGCTAGAGCAGAAGGAAAAGGCTGGCAAATAAGAGCAATGACTAATGGATTCAGTGTGAAAATAGCATGAGTTTTTTATTTTTTTGGGAAAGTGAATTTAGCATGAGTTAATAGACCCAAGTGTGCCACTTGCAACTTGAGCTTGATACGCCCAGCAAATTTCTGTAGCATCACATTTCTTGTATCTTGGTGAAATTACTCGCAACACCAAGTACCATGTAACCGAAGTTACAATGCAGCGATGCATATTGTAAAGGCATTAGAAAATGCATTGCCAGTTTTCATAGTCGTTTTTGAATTCTGTATGCATTAATCATCGGGGTTCGTTCATATACATGATGCTGCACCCATGTGGGTGAAGTTGCAACAGAGTTAAACCTAGAAGGATAAAAGGTTCACGAGTTGAAAGCTAATAGGATTTTCAGAGTTAACGATTCAGAATTTATGGGCCCAAAACAACGATTATCCCACTCCACACAATAATAGAGCTTAGAGGCTAGTAGTTTTTCCACTAGATACTCACCAAATTTCTTGAGGCCTCAGTGTCTATCATCTGTATAATTGTCTGGCCCCAGCAAACTGTATGATCAGATTAGAAACACTGTTAGAAACAAGATAAGACCTTTTGTAAAAGAATTTTTTGAATATGTTGAATCGATATAAATTGAGGAGCAATCTTAGTCGGGCTGATCACTCAGTTCGCCAACGAGCAGAACTTGTCATCATCATCAGACATACAAAAGCTAGAGCAGAAGGAAAAGGCTGGCAAATGAGAGCAATGATGGATTCAGTGCGAAAATACCATGAGTTTTTTTTTTTTTTTTGGAAAGTGAATTTAGCATGAGTTAATAGACCCAAGTGTGACACTTGCAAATTGAGTTTGATACGCCCAGCAAATTTCTGTAGCATCATATATCTTGTATCTTGGTGAAATTACTCACAACACCAAGTACCATGTAAACGAAGTTACAACGCAGCGATGCACTTTGTAAAGTTTTTCATAGTTAGTAAGCATTAGAAAATGAATTACCAGTTTTCATAGTCGTTTCTGAATTCTGTATGCATTAATCATCAGGGTTCGTTCATATACGTGATGCTTCAGCCGTGTGGTTGAAGTTGCAGCAGAGTTAAACAGGGAAGGAAAAAAAGGTCACGAGTTGAAAGCTAATAGGATTTTCAGAGTAAACAATTCAGAAACGAGACTTATGGGCCCAAAACAAAGGTGATCCCCCTTCACAATGCATAATCAGATTAGAAACATTGTTAGAAACAAGATAAAACCTTTGCCAATAGACATTTTTGAATATGTTGAATCGATAAAAATTGAGGAGCACTCTTAGTCTAGCTGATCACTCAGTTTGCCTACTAGCAGAGCTTGTCATCAGCATCACACATACAAAAGCTAGAGCAGAAGGAAAAGGCTGTCAAATAAGAGCAATGACTAATAGCTTCAGTGTGAATATAGCATGAGTTAATAGACCCAAGTGTGTGACACTTGCAACTTGAGTTTGATATGCACAGCAAATTTCTGTAGCATCCATTTCTTGTATCTTGGTAAATTACTCACAACACCACGTCACATGTAACCGAAGTTGCAACGCAGAGATGCTTTTTGTAAAGTTCGCCCAGTTTGTAGGCATTAGAAAATGCATTACCAGTTTGCATTGTCGTTTCTGAATTATCTGTGCATTGATCATCAGGGTTAGTTCATACACATCATGATGCAGCCATGTGGGCAGAGTTGAACCTGGAAGGAAAAAAAGCACAAGAGTTGAAAGCTTATATTCAAAAACGAGAATTATGGGCCTAAAACAACAATTCTCCCACTTCACACAATAATAGAGCTTAGATGCTAGTGATTTTCTACTAGATATCTCACCAAATTTCCAGAGGCCTCAGTGTAATATCATCTATATAATTGTTTGACCCTGCATACTGCATAATCAGATTAGAAACACTGTTAAAAACAATATAAAACCTTTGCTAAAAGACTACTTTGACTACGTTGAACAGATAGAAATTGAGAGTGAGACAAAAACATGAAACATCTTCCCACGAAAACACAATGGTGGACTCTTCTCTTTCACTGACTAGAACTATGAACTATCAGACATAACGAACTTACATATCCATGTTTTCGTCAGGTCAAGAACAATTCAGGAAATCCCATGACTAACCACGGCCCTTACGAGGATATTCCATGTTACACGAGTTGGATTCCTTCCCTTATTCAGTGCATCATCCAGAAATCTGGCGGCGTCTGATATTCTGCCAAATGAGCAAAGCCCCTTAAGGGTGATGTTATATGAAATGATATCTGGCTGTAGCCCATTTCTTAAAATGCATGCCCATATAGCCAATGCCTCTTGTCGTCCTCTGAGCTTAAAAAAACCTTCCATAAGGGTGTTGTATGTAACAAGATTTGGAAGACATGTGGAGCTCTTCATCTCTTTGAAAACTCTTAAGGCTTCTCCAATTTTGCCCGCGGAGCAAAGTCCATGTATCAAAATGTTGTGCATGATTATATCTGGCTTAAAGCCATCATGAAGAACTAGCTGCCAAAGATTTAGAGCCTCGTTGATCTTCTTACTTTGACAAAGGCCATCTAACAACAAAGTGTAAGTTATCATGTCTGGCTTCCCATCTTTGTCCAGCATTTCCTTCACAAAAGAATGTGCCTCTGTGTACCGTCCAGCTTTGCACAGACCCTTTATAAGGGTATTATAAGATATCACGGTTGGGGAGCAGCCTTTCGATTCCATTTCCCTGAAAAATTGAATTGCCTTCTCCAGCTTGGAAGCTTGTACGAAACTATTAATCAGTGGGTTGAAAACCTGTGGACTTAACGTAAAACCCCGGCTTTCCATCTTGCGGACAATGGCCACAGCTTCATCCACTCTCCCCTCTTTACATAAGCCATCCACCATTGAAGAATATGCAAAAGCATCCAGAACAACTTCAACACCTCCATCTTCAGCCTCTGCAAGAAGTTTTAAGGCCTTATTCAAGAAGCCATTCTTACACAAACCATGAATTAAAACTCCATAAGTTACACAATCTGGCCCACAATCCTTCTTTCGCAGAATCTCCCATACCGACATTGCTTCTTCGACCTTTCTATTCTCCAACAATCCCCTAATCAAAATGTTATAACTGACCACATTACGACAATTCTGCTTCCCCATAGCCAACCACAACTCAAAACACTCCCTTATTCTCCCAGCCTCACAAAACCCACTGAGCATTGTATTATGAGTAACAATATCAATCATCATCCCCCTTTCGACCATCTCCTTGTAAACCTTTACAGCCCCATCAGTGTTCCCAACCTTACACAACCAATGAATCAAACTGCTGCAGGTAACCACATCCCTCTCTCGCTCATTCCTCTTCATTCTCTCCCACATTTCCAAACTCTCATCAAACTTACCGCACTTGCACAAGCCATCAATCATTATATTATAAGTAGCCACACTCGGGAACACAGCAGAACTTTTCACCAAATCCTCCCAAATACCCTTAGCTTTGCAATAATCCCCACTCTTGAAAGACCCATCTATCATTATATTGTAACAAGTGACATCAGGCACCACTCCTCTCACGGACATTTCATCGAACACCTCGGATGCAGCCACCAAGTCCCCACCTTTCACCAGCCCAATCATCACAGTACTATAGCTATACACATCTGGGTTTAAACCCTTCTCCCACATTCGATCCAACAACTCTCTCGCCTTGTTAAATTGCTTCTTCTTGCACAAAAACTTAATCAAAATGTTATGAGTTTCCAAATTAGGCGCTACACCCACCGTTTCAAAATAAGCGAGAAATTCCTCTGCTTTCTTCCACTGCTCCGATTCAACAAACGCATTAAGCATCGTATTGTACGACCTAATCCCGGGCTTGCAATGAAAAGTCTCCTCCATTCTCTCGAAGGTGTGTAAAGCTTCAGCAACCATTTTATTCTGCGAATAAGCCTTGATTACCGTCAGAACGAGGTCTTCAGGGCACTTGCATTTACGGGCTTTGAGGAGTTCAACGACGCGGGTGACTAGGAGGACATGATTCGACTCAGAGAGCTGCCGGAGAATATGGTGGATAACATGAACGGAAGGGTAATTATCGCGGTGAAGAAACGCTGAATCGATTAGGGCAAGCTTCGATTGAGGGCTTTTCTCGAATTCGAGAAGCTTCAGAAGAGGTTTGGAAGAGAAGAATTTGGGAAGCAGGTAACTTTCTGGCCTCCGGCATTTCATCTCTGCAAATAGAATTTGGGAAGAATGTGGCGTTGCTTTCCGGCCTTTAAGAACACCGACGGTAGGGATTGAAATGGGTCTGGTTGGGGCGGGTTTTGTCAAACCCAAACTCAAATTCATGGTTTTCCGTCAAAAAAATCCCGGGGTAAAATTTATTGGGTTTGAAAAACTCAAATCCAACCCAACCCGTTGGGTATCCACGGGTTCATGGGTACCCGTGGGTTTTTGTAGTAAAATATTTACAATAACAAGTTTCTTTCAAAATAAAAGGTTAATATCAATTTTCTCATACAAATTAATCATACAAAAAACATCAATCTAAAGGAATTTTTTCAATAATTGCATCTTTTAAAAAAAATTACAAAACTAGCACCCAGCCGAAAATATTTACAAAAATAGCACATTTTAAATCAAACCGCACCTCCAATGTGCGTTTTATAAATAAACTACAGCAGGACGGTGCGTTTTAACTATAATCCGCACCTTAGAGGTGCGGCCCAATCCACGTCAGCAAACGCACCGCATCATCCGAGTGCGGTTTGTGTTTCCTGGGCAGCAGGCTTGGAGGCCGTCGGATGGGGCTGCGATCCAAGGGCGGACCGCACGCCACCTCAGCAATCCACGTAGTGGAGCCTCAGGCCGCACTTGTAGGATGCGGTCAGCACCTCGGGAAAGCAGACCGCATCGTAAGGGAGCGGTTTTGCTCGGGGTAAAATTACCAGACCGCCCCTAAAGGGTGCGGTCTGAAAACTATAAATATCACCCTTCCCCCCTCATTTCTTCACACCACAACTCATTCTTCCCTCTCTCTAGAATTATCTCTCTAAACTCTCCCCTCCCAAAAGTCTAGGAAATAGTGGTATGTTGGTTGCGGCTAAGTCCGATCTGCCATCAGAAAACATTTCTTTGATTTTTTCCTCAAAACCCGCCGAGCCGAGCCAAACCTTTGTCCGAATTTTGGTTTTTTTCTCAAAACCCGCCGAGCCGAATCTCTGTCCGAATTTCCCGAAACAAAATGAGCGAGTGGTGGCAAGGAGAGGGAGTTTATGTTGATGAATTTCAAGCGGTACATACTCATTATTGTGGTCAATTTTTGTTGCTGTTATAAGCTTTTTAATTAATCTATGTACTAACCTCGTTGTTATTTTCTCGTAGGTTGGGGACGACGTGGATATATACAACCAACGGTATTATCTCGAGCAAGGACCGTTGGATCCAACCGACTTGTACGACCAACCCAACCATCGGTCAAGGGATGTTTGGAACGATCACCCGGTACACATACAATTCTTCATCATTTGTCTTTCTTTTATTTTGCTAATGTATTTAGTAGAATATAAAATAAATTTATGTTGAATTTTTAATCGTGTTGGTTGTTTTCAAAAATTTAATCGAATACATAGCGCCATTTACTTCGACTCTTTATAAAGAGATGCACGTCTAATTACAACCAAAAAAAAAGAGATGCACGTCTAAGGAAATGGGGTTTTAAGCGATTATCATATCCTCCCATTCTCTGGGAAAATCGGGTATTAAGAGATTCTCGGATCCCCCTTTTTCTGTCAAAAAGACTGCGTTTCTAAGAAGATATATACCTCTTTTAAGAGTCAAACGAGTGTTGCTCTGTATTCGATTAAATTATTTAAAACAATCAATACGATTAAATTATTTACCAAACAACCAATACGATTTATTTTTATGTGTACAAAATGAATTTTATTAATTTCAAATATTTGAATATGTATGTTTATCTTTAAATTATTATTCATTTATAATGTTATTTATGTTAATTAATTTAGTATGTTTGTTTTACGATAATATGTATTATCTCTTTAAATTATTATTCATTTAGAATGTTATTATGTTAATTATATGAAATGTATTTTTATGATAATAAAATTCGGCTCGAAGTTAAATAATTTAATTTAATTAATTTAGTTATAAGAAAAAACCCTTACTAATATATAATAATTAACGTGTAAATTTTTGCTAGGAGGCAGAAACAATACTCCGCTACAGGGGTACGACCAATGTGCTCCCATTCCACCCAGCTATCTTGCCCTTTCTCAAAAGGGCACGATTGGACCCGATTAGGCATTTTAACGGCATCAAAGTCGATCGCCAACTCATCACCGCATTAGCTGAGAGATGGAGAAAGGAGACCCATTGTTTCAACTTTAGAGAAGGAGAGGCCACCATCACGCTAAAGGATGTCGTCGTCCTAAACTCATCCGCCCATCGACGGCAAACCGGTGTGCGCGAGTGATCATCCCCCCGAGGATCGTGTCGGTATGCCCGGTTGGGTTCATTTCATCCACAGTGTTTTGGGGGTGAAAGTACCAGTCAAGGGGAGCATTGATGCGACCGATCGCTTGCCACCAATGAGGAAACACCAAGTCTCAATTACTTGGTTGACGAAGTATTTTAGAGACCATTATGAGACTCATCCCCTAACCGAGGAAAGTCCGGAGGATGAGAAGGAAAGATATGCTCGTGTCTATCTCATAGGCATGATCGGAGGAGTGTTCTTCTCCAAAAAAAAAATCAAGCAATCTCCTTAGCTGTGGATGGCTTAGGATCATCCTCGGTAGTTGGGAGGAGATGGGGGATTTTAGCTGGGCATCCGCTTACCTAGCTAATATCTACCACAATTTGTGCAATGCGTCTCTAAAATATGTGAGGGAGGTCGGCGGCGCAATGTTCATCGTCCAATTTTGGGCTTGAGAGCATATGCCATGGATTGCACCGGTCCAACGTCCTGACAGGGATTGGCCAATCGATCATCCCCTAAGAGGTGAAGCTTATGGTACAAGGTAAACTTCTCATACCCCATCATGTTTTTCATAACACATTTTCCCTTGTGTTTTAGCTTATTGTAGTTTCATTATTGTCTTATTAATAAGGTGGCTCGGACACACAACATGCAACAACCTTGCCCAACACAAGTTGGTCGAGTATCGGAGGAGGTTTGAGCGACTTTGGGAAGGAGAGGTAACTTATATACTTTGATCCATTTATGTTTTTTTTTTCATGGAGTACATGTATTTTTCCAATTATGATAAACTTAAGTTACTCATTTCTTTCTTGTAGATCGTCTTCGATCCATACCCTGAGAACATCGTTCATTGGCATCTCCAGCAATTCCCCGGTCATATCGGGCAATGGTGCACGAGGGTCCCTCTAATTTGTTTTGGGACCATGGAGTGGCACTTGCCGGATAGATGCCTCCATCAGTTTGGTCGGGAGCAGTGCATTCCGTTGGAGGTCCCTGATAGTCAAAGGGTCTTTCACTACCGAGATGGTCGGCAAGGTACTCACGATCGGCCCACGAAGTTGGCGAAATTCATCACGATGTGGGAGAACCGACAATGGCAGGATATTGTCACTCCAAATCGAGTGGGTCGAATGGGGTATCATGACCCATACTTGGATCGATATCGGCAAACATCGGTTCGGTACATGACTCCCGAGGGTGCGACCGATGGTGCATTGGTAAGTATATTCCGTCTAAACAATTAAATTTATTACTTGGTTCCTAAATTTTTTTCTAACTTTTTTTTTTGTGATTTAGGCTGATGGGATTGAGCGGATCAAAGATATGACCGCCGGGAGAGTTGAAATGGGCAATGAAGATGTGAGCTTCATCAAGAGGATGGCAAACAGTCTGCTTGGCTGTATCAGAGCTCAGGGTCGGGATCATCGTAGATATCCGCCCATGCCCGCACCCCCGCCATCTCCAGTACAAGTTGATGTCCCCGATCCCCCACCAACATATGAGAGAAAGAAGAGCAAGAGGGTTCGGGAAAGGCCAACGTGCCTGACGTAACGCCATATCAGGCGTGGAAAGTGCCACCCCCATTGGTTGTGACACATGGTGCCGGCCCGAGTTCCTCCCAAGCTCCCCGCCCGAGTTCGCCCAAGGTGTCGGCCCGAGTTCCTCCCAAGCTCCTGGCCCGAGTTCCGCCCAAGATCCCCGCCCGAGTTCATCCCAAGAGCACCGCCCCTCCTACCACAACGATCCCCACCCAAGCTCATACTACGATCTCCGCTCGACCTACCATCAATCCCCTCCGAGCTACCATCAATCCCCATATGATCCCAACCCGATCTCATACAACGATCCCCGCCAACCATACTACGATTCCCGACCGGTCTACCCCCCATCTCCCCGCCAACCATACCACGACTCTCGCCCGGTCTACCCCCAAAATCCCCCTACATCATCGGGTACGTGGCATGATGGTTCCTCCAAGACGGCGCCCCACGAATTCAACCCATGGACTCGCCCTCATCAGCCGTGGCCTCCTACTCCTCACCATATGAGCGCGGATGTCCCCCGCTCAACCCCGGAAGCGCCGCCTCCCCGCCGACACAGCACCGATGAGCGCCACACTACCTCGGCCATTCGAAACTTGCCACCGGAACCACCTATTGTTACTCCCGTCGGCCGTCGTACAAGGAGCCAAAAAACCGTCAGTTCCAGTGAAGCTCGTGGACTTCCTTGAGATGTATTTTGAGTTGAATTTTAATTATATGTACTTGGAACTATTCTTCTTATCTTAGTTTATTTAATTGAGTGTTGTTTTAATTTGTTTTTATTTCTATGTAATTGGCTTTGTCCTTTTTTTCCGTGTAAACTTGATATTATCCCAATTCGATCAATCAACAATTCACAATTACTTCCCAAAGAAGTCATCTCAACTAACTTGAAGAATGATAATCGCAAACTATGTCGCATTAGCTGAGTCCGCCACATCAGGACCCGGATTTTGCGGACCAATCGGACCTGGACACCTTCGTTTATCATGTCCTGGAACTTTGCATGTTGAACATCGTCTTGGGCCTCGTGGTGGTCTTCCACTTTGACCCATTTCGTTCTGAATTCTCTTTTTCCTCGGGCGACCCGGTTCACGCCTCTGTCTGAACGGCGGGATGATCCCAATAAGCTTCATCAGGCAATGCACGGAAACTCCGTCCATAGGTGTTTTTGAGTGAGTCGA